GAAATCAGATGCAAGAGAATTTCAGATATCCCATGTAGCAATACTTGTGCTGATACATCTCCTAGTGCAAGGGAAATTAAGTAAAAATACACAAATCAGACTGCATCAAACTAGAAAGCTCTGGCATGACTAAAGAAACCATCATCAAAATGAAAAGAAAACTGACTTTGTAGGAGAACATATTTTCCAATGACACAGCAGACAAGGGTTTGATCTCCAAAGTATGTAAATAATGGAAATGAATCAAAATCATGAAGACAAACAATCCAGTTAAAAAATGGGCAAAAGAGCTGCATAGATACTTCTCCAAGGAGGACACACAGAGGCCCCCTAAACATATGAAAGGATGATGAGCATCACTAGCCAGGAGAGAGATGCATATTAAAACCACATTGAGATGTCACCTCACAACTGTCATATGGCCATCAGCAGTAAATCAGCAAACAACAAGTCCTGGAGAGGATGTGGAGAAAAGGGAGCCCTAGTGCACTGTTGGTGGGAATGCAGACTGGTGCACTCACTGTGGAAATCAGTGCAAAGTTTCCTTAAAACCACTAAACATGTTTGTTATATTTCAAAGTGTTAGGAATGTTGAAAGACTTGAAATGTCATGAAGACATGGATTCTCAGTGGACTGTTGCCTCTGATTTGATGACAGGACATTTCCCCCTGTCTTCTGAGAGCCTTCACATCAGACTCCCAACGTTTAACAAACACATGGTTGGACTTGAGTTTTTAGAAACACCAAACCAGATACTGTTTCCAGTTACGATGATGCTCAGACAAAATATTTAGACATTAGACCTTCCTGGTGTGACTCAGTGGATTGAGCACCTGTCTGTGAACCAAGGGTTGCTGGTTCAATTCTCAGTCAGGGCACATGCCTGGTTTGCAGGGCCAGATCCCCAGTAGAGGGTCTGTGAGAGGCAACCACACATGGATGTTTCTCTCCTTCTCTTTCTCCCTCCCCTCCCCTCTCTCTAAAAGTAATTAAAAATAAATTAAAAAAGATTTAGACATTAACCTGCTTATTTTAGTCATTTTCTAGTATTTCATCCCTACACTGCTCCAACCCCTGAATTAATGTCTGCAACAGACCAAGAATGTGACCTTATCTAATAGGGCCTCTGCAAATGTAAACAAATTAAGATAAGGTCATGCTGGTGTAGGGAGGTCTTAATTAATACATATGATATCCTATAAGAAGAGGGACATTTGGACCCAGAGACAGACACACAGGATGAGAACAATGAGATGACAGAGGCAGAGACTGGAGTAAGATGTCTGGAAGCCAAGGGATGCCAAGGACTGAGGGTTCCACCCAATAGTAAGAGAAATGCATGGTCCAGAGTCTCCCCTGGATATTGACAGAGAAGACAGTCCTGTTGACCCTTTGTTTTCAGAGGCTAACCCTCCAACTGTGACAGATGAAATATTGTTGGTGCAAGCCAGAAAACATTAAAATACATGAGGAGAAGACTCATGGGCCGGGACAATGGGGAGGGAATAGACTTCAGGTGGGTGGGCAGGGCAGAGGAGGACAATGGGGAAAATGGTGGGACAACTGCAACTGAACACAATAAAAAAGTCAAATTAAAAAAATAAAAATAAAATATTTCTTGTTTGGAGGTATAAGTGTTGTATGAAAGCATTTCAAATAAAGTTAGAATAACTAGGAGTGCAATGAGGGTCAAAACTGCAATATCATTGGGTTCCACTGGGAACATAATATTCAGCTGAAGACATGAAGTTGGTGTAAAAACCAGCAACATTGATAAATTTGACACTAATCATCACAGTGTGGAAGGGATATGGTGTCAAGTACATTCTGTATTATCATACCTTGTCATTTATTTCTCTTTCTGTTATTTACACTGAACATCTGTGAGGGCAGAGCATTTCAGACAGACTCTGCAATCTCTGTGATGCTGCTGCCATAGTCACTTTATGTCAGAGAAGCAGCTGTTGAGATGAATGGGGCTTTAACCATATACACAAAAGTCACCATTTTCCCAAGATCATCTAAAGTAGTCTGACCAGTTTTTTTGTTTGTTTTTGAATATTGGCTTTCATCAACTAATTTCCTATTGAGACTTATTCTCCTGATCATTTCATTTGGTGATTTCTCCTCAAAAGTATAATTATTTCTACTTATTTCCCTGTATTGACAAGAGGTACTTTATATTTGAGAAATTATTCTTATCATTAAATAATGACTCTATTGATGTGTAAATTGATTGTGTTAAAATACAGGACACATACCTGGCAGTACTGAAGTGATGTGAGGACCAATGTGGCTCTGCAGTGCGTGTGGATATGTCATACTCTGACCTCTGGGATTTCCCTAAACCCCACAGGGGTCATCACTGCTGGGACACTGCTCCCTTCTTCATGTGTGTCTATGGCTGTTATTGTAGATTACATTATTTTTTAGTGAATCTATATTTCTTCTCTCTGACCACTATGAGAAGGGTATACTTTGCAGAAAATTAACAAGCTTGACCACGTGACTGGTTTGGTTAATAGAATGTTTGTGAAAATAACCATTTATGAGTTCAGAGCACAGGCATTAAGTAGCACATTTCTGCTAGTTCTGTCCAGAGTGGCTAATCCCTGCTCTGAGAAGGTCACATGTCAGGTAGCCCACTGTTCAGAGAATAAAAGATATAAAAAATATCTGAACTAAATCTGTGGTCTGGAGCTAAGCCCATACATGTTCAACCTGTATCACCTGAAAGCAAACCAAACCACACATGGGTAACTAAGAAAAACTGAGCAAAACTAATGTTGTGTGTAAATGCCAAAACAACTGGGTTGTTGTAACACAATGTCAGCTATTAGATACAACTCAACACAAATCACATGAAATTAATTTTTAATAGTCACTAATTATATATATATATGAACATAATGAATAAATACAGAGAACATAAACAAGATATATTTAAATAGATGAATGTATAGGAATTACTAACTCATTTTGTACATGATTAACAAATATAGGATCTGTCACATTTTTAATTGAATTATAGTGAAACTGTCACATAATGATGTCAAATTAATAAATTTCTTCCCACATTCTGTCAATGACTAATGTTTAATTCACATGGACATATTATCTTTTTACTTTTTATATTCATATATTTATTTTTAACATTGTATTTTTTCTATCAATATAGGTTTCTAAGCATAGCAATTAATAATGTCAAAAAGGAAAGACAAAGAATTTAATAAAACAAGGTAAGTTCAAAAATAACTAAAATCCAGTACAGGAAAACAAAACATGATATATAAGACATATCAAAGGACACTAATTATTGCCCAATGAAACTACTAGTCTCTACCAAAAAATGGCTACAATCATTGATAATGACACACTAAAAAGATTCAGAAGATATTTGTGCTGTTTCTGTTGTCCAAGCAAGTGAATAGTCACATGGCTTTTGTTATAGAAACTTTGGGGTTGTTGCATAGTAACAGTGAGTGCCAGTTAGAAATTTAGTTTGCTCTGCTCCAAATCTATACATATTTCCCTTTCTGAGATCATGGCAGCAGATCCTGCAACCTCTTCTCCAGTCAACTCACTTGAAGTTTTGTCAGGAAAGGGCACTGGGAGAAAGGACTCCTCTTCCTCTTTTCATGGCATTTTCTCTCATTGGCTCCAGTGCTGTGGCTGACATCTGCATGCATGCAGGAAGTTCTTGTGGTATTCACCCTCCAGCAAGTTACTGGGACTAGTCACAGCCATAGCTCTTCTTCTCCAGCCTGGGATGCTGACACTTTGTCAGAGAGGTTATCCTACTTGCCAGTCACATTGTGACTCACACATATCATCCTGCAGAGTGGGAACTGCTCTTTCCTAGTGTCCTCCAGTGTACTTGTCTGCTGTAGAGTTTTCTGTAATGACATGAGTCTGAAACCCATTGCTGAAGAGATTGCCTTGGGTCATATATGGTTCTTCCCCTGGGTAATCATCTTTGATTAACCCTTTGGTACATTTTGTAATTTTCATCTACTCCTCTCTGTAGGCTATCCTCCTAAAATACTTAATAATTCTTTAAATCATCCCTGGTTTCTCTCTTCTGACTCCACTGCCTTACTCACCTTGTTATCCTGATATGTTCAGTCCTCATTTTCAACATCCAATGGATGGGGAAATTATATTGAAGATGTGTCTACAATTATTCATGCTAATTTAGACTTAGAAGTAACAATGCTTGATATGAAAATTCATAATTTATACTTGATATATTTCAATTAATTACAAGATGTTTAAATGTTTAATATGCACCTGGATATATACATTTAAAGATTAACATAAATATGGATATCAAAACAATTCTATAATGCCAAGGATGCAGCATCAGATAAAGTATGGACTTAAGTGACTATGATATGTCAGTTAGACATTCTCAGTAACAAATGTCCCCCTCTGCTGAGTGATGCTGATAGTGGGGATGCTGGGCATGCAGGGGAACATGGGAAATGTGAGTACCTTCCTTTTGTTTTTGTGCTGAAAACAAAACTGATCTCAAAATAATTCTTAAAACTTAGTTTTACAAAAATAATTGCAGCATTCTTGAAGAAACTAGAAATGTGTTCTTTAGGGATGGTGAGAGGAACATGATACCAAAGTTAGGTGAGCTAATGTGACTGGTGCTTACAAATATATTTTCTGTTTTCTAGACAGGATTCAGAATAGAACTTGTGTGTGTCAGAATTCCAATATACACAATTCTTGTCCAACTCTGAAGTTTTTGCAAATCTGAAATGCAGAGATAATAAATCATTAATCTAAGGATACATAACTTAATATTTAAATAAACAAATATGTACAGTAATATTTATATAGTAAATCTTAATATTTCTTAAAATTTTTTCTAAAAAAATACTTAAATATTTCTTCACATACTTGTTTACCCATTTCCCTTTGTTTCTAAGATTAATTCCTGATTAGAAAGCATGAGGGAATACATAATATATAGGCATTCTAAAGAGACTTACAGTTCAGAAGAGAGAGTTGTGCCAATTGTCCACACCCAAGAATTAGTATTATTTCTCTGGGAAAGTCCAGTCCATGGATGTATTTTAAAAATGTTCAAAAAATTCTATGAGAAAACAAAGTTTATGAGGAATTAAGTAAAATTAATTTGTATTTGTAAAAACAATTAAAGTGTCTCCCAGATAGAGGGGACGGTGACAGCTAAGTAAACTGCACAGCCCACCAACATCTGATGACATTAGTGAATAAGCAATCAACCACGTCCTGCAATCCAGAAATTCTTGGTCACCCCACCCAGTGGGCTCAGTATATCCAACACCCAAAGATCACATGACCTTGTGTGAAGAAATTTAGGACTCTAAATTAACGTGGAACACCTCAACGATCATCTGATTTGAGGCAACATCTGCAGCAAAACCAACAATATTCTAAACAACTGGCCAAAGAAACAGCTAAGTCCATGAAAAAGTCTGTATCTCCTCCTACCACCCTCAGTGAACAGTGTGAAATTAAAATACAGGTAATTTCTTAGTGGCTGAATTCACAACATCACTGACCAACTCTCCAAAGGCCAGCCTCTGAGAAAGGGAAAGAGTGTTTTGCATGAGTGTGGAGCCTGTGCCAGAGCATCTGGTGGAACTCCTGAGGAGAGCTCAAAGACAGGAATCTTGTGTTCTGGAAAAGCCAAACTCACCCTCAAGGTCAGGGGCAGGATGAGGGAATTACAGAGGATCTCCCCCACCTTATTCATGAGAGAGTCTTCTCTTAGGCAACTGGAAGCTTATATTATAGGTATTAATAAACTTTTCAAAAGTCTGGGAATGATAATTCATGACCAAAGAGCTGTGATGGCATAGAAACCAAAGTTGAAAATGCAGGGGTCCATGTCCAACAAGCCAACCAGCACCCATTAAGGGTGGCAGAATATCAGAAAGAGAACCACGCATGTTGCTGTGAGATGCACAAGAGTTTTAAGAAAACTACAAATCTACACCTGTGATACCATGGGAGAATAAACAAAAGTCTAAACCTTTATATTTTATTTTGTTTTTATTAAAGATTCAATTTATTTAATTTTAGAGAGAGAGGAAAAGAGGGAGAAAGAAAGGGAATCATGGATTGGTTGCCTCTCCTATGCTGGATCCCTAACCCATCCTGCAACAACACAGGCACATGTCCTGACTGGGAATGAAACCCATGACATTTCCCTTAACGGAACAATGTCCAACCCACTGACCCACACCAGTCAGGGCAACCATTATATTTTAAATGACATATTATAATTCTTTTGCCTCTGGCTTTTATTTGTGTATTGAGAATTTGAATGCAGGTTTTGTTAATATTAAACCATGAGAATGATTTTGGACACTAATAAACTGGTCATAGAAAAATGCAACAATGATATTTTCAGAGAACGTATTTTGAAAGCACTTTTAAAAAACTGTTTTTTCTTTAGTGTTCATATTCAATATTGTTTTGGACCTGTATATAGCTTCAGAGGTGACTATTCCAATGGATCTCAGGCCCATCTGACACCGTGCATATTTTTTAGAATACTCTTGACTATATTCTCTGTGTTGTGCTTTGTACTGTTGTGACTGATTTTATAATTGGCAATTTACAAAAGAACTTTTTGATAAGGTTTCAAAATGTACAACCTTTTAAACTACTTTTAATTTTCATATGTAGTTAACAATTTTTTACCATTGTTCATTAAAAATAGATGTATGCCAATTAGCTCACTTACCTTTTTAAATCAGTGTTATTGTTTGTTTTGTTTCTCACTTTATTTTTATTGATGAAATAGAGAGAGAGCAATCAGTTAGTTGGTCCACTTAGTGTGACATTCCTTGGGAGCTTCTTGTATGTGCATGATGGGGCATCAACCAGCACCCTGCCTGTGTTTGGATGATGCTCTAACCAGCGGACCTATCATGACTGGGTCTATATCAATGTTGTTTTAAAATTCTAATCATAATATGGAAAGAGAATTATATAGGTTATAGTTTGTATTTTTATAGAATATACCAATTTGAAAAAGGCAATGTTGTATATGCAAGCTCTGAGACTTCAAATGGAATCAAATAAAATATTAAGTAACTAAATTGTATATTTGCAACCTAAATAAAGATGATTTTAAAAATGATAAACCAAATACAGTTATTTTTCTAGGTTAGAGTGATACAATTTATAATATACTTTTATATATATTGGACACATTAAGAAAATGTATTAGTATGATTAGGTGAAGGGACAAATATAACAATTTCATACCTCTGAAACTTGATCAAAGAGTAAAAATAACATCACCATTTATTACTGGAGAAAGCAGCTAGAGATTCCAGTAAAAATAGAGCAAATTTGTAGTCTTCATGTCTAAGACTGCTCCCATGTCCTCCCCCAATTCCCCATCTCAGTTCATGAGTAAGAAGTGTAATTCTTACTGTTTGGGGAATGCTGAAACATCACTGGTGTCCCCACAGGGGAAGTCTGATTACTTTGGAAGTGGTGGTGAAACTGCCCACTTCTTTTTCAGGTCAAAGTGCTGAACTCACTAGGTTAAAAGTGAAGATGACCACCCTTTTTCTGGTCTGTGTCAGCACAGTGCCAGCCATAAACAGGAAGGTACTCAATGTGAGAGCACAGTACAAGAAGTGATATTAACTCTCTACACCTACTTGATTGGTGGGAAAAATATTTGCACTGTGTAGAAGAAACAAAAATAATCTGGTAAAAAAAAATAAGCTAAAGTTGATTTGAGAACTGCTTTTAAAAGCATCAGTACTCTCTTACAAACACACACACACAAGTACATCAAGTAGCAGAGGGTGGAGCCATACTGACTTGAGGTATTTGAATAAATTTTTAAAGATCATTGTCTGTCAAGTAAGCTATGCAGGCCCAAGGGGAATCCCAGTAATTGAGCCTAAAACTGAAATAATAACAAGAATTTTAAAAACTGAGTAAGTGCACTTCAAAAGAGATGACTCTAAAGTAACAGTTTACTGAAGTTACAAAAGTATAAATCTAATAAACATGTAGGAGGATCCCTGTTTATTATACTATGTTATTGACAATGTGAACTTACCCAAATTTTAAAATGGTGCAAAGAAACTAAATAATATCTTTCATACTCAGGGGGAGAAATCACCCATACAAAATAACTTTCACTGGGATAAGATGTTGGGGTTTTCTATGCAAATATTTAATAGTAGTTATTATAAATATATATATGCATAAAATATATTTTAAAAACTATCATCATGTAACTCTGTGGAAATGTGATGCCAGTGACAGAACAATTAGGGAAATAAAAACTGTATGAATGAATTAAATAAAATTATCGGTTGAAAATTCATTATCTACATTACAAATTCAATACATTTACGTAAACGTCGAGATGTAGAAGGAAGAATTGATGAAATAACGATGGAGTGACAGAAATAATTAATTCCTGAAGGTAGAGAGAAAGAGATAGAAAAACTAATGGAACCTCAGAGACCTTTATAGAACTTTATCAGTAAAACCTAGTTAGGTGTAATTATTGCCCATAAACAAAAAGAAAGGCAAAAGAGGAGCAAAAACAATTTTCAGACACAATGAATGATCATCTTCTTAGATTATGTTCAAATATATAGACCCATGTATATAAAGTTGTTTATGTAGAAAAGATCATCTGCTATAAATTATTCCACATCAACTAGGTAATGATGCAGAAAAGTGTGAACTTGACCTCTACCACACAGCATCACAAACACAGCATCACAAAAATATTGATTCTCAAAGTACTATAAACCTAAAACTAAAAGTCCATCAATAAAGAAAAAAGATAAACCATTAAGAGTAATGCAGTAGATTATCTTCATGAACTTTGACCAACTTGTAAAAAATGTCCAAAATAATTACCAACATCCAAAAGGAGATATTGGACGGTGGTAACATTAATAAATCCTGATTGTAAAACACTCCAATATGAGAAGAAAAATGTAATTAACAGGCAAGAAAGCCATTTGCATCTCACAAATTCAAAAAAGAGTCATATGGAAAATATAACTACTTCTAAGAATGAAAATAACAAGTAACATACAGGAGAAATGGTCAAGAGACATGAATAGGCACTTCTCATTCTCACAGTACAGAAATTCATCATGAATGGCACTCTGAGACATGTGTTAAATTGATCAGTATGAGGAAAATACCCCTTAAAGTCATAATGATGCTTTTATATAATGATCAGAGCTGATGGCATTAAAATTTGTGGCAGAACTAAGCTTTGGATCATGAAACTATTGGATGTAATGTGTATTTATACAATAAACTAGAAAGTGCAGGGATAATTTACATACACATATATTTTTGACCCTGCAATTTCATTCTAATGCAAAAAGGAAATACATTTTAATTATACACATACACCATTAGAACAACTATATTTATAAATTATTATACTATTATAAACATAATATTTATAGTATATCAATTTATATATTATATGTATTATTATATATAAATTATTTTAAATATGATGTATTTGGAAAAAGACATGCACAAATATTTTTTATTAAACAATTATTCATTGCAACCACATATTAAAAACATCTGTATTCTGAGCAGAATAGATTAAAGAATGCGAAATATGTACAACATAGCAGTGAGAATTAAACTTCATGTACATTCAATAATATGGGTTAATTGGAAAACTATCATGTGGGAGTTAACAGAGACATGTAAAATGCATAATGAATGATTCCCATTATATAAAATTCAAAATTAAGCAAAGATAATTTGTGATATAAAATATCAGAACAGTGGTTGAGTGATGGGAGAGAAGTCATGAGAGAGTGCACAGGAGCGGGCTGGCAACACCTACTTCATGACCAATTTCAGTCTGTAACACGCACAATCATGTCTATAGTCTCCACGATGCATGATACAATGAAGTTGCAAAGTTTACTTTTGGAAAAAAAAGCATTTATAGAAGCCTGATTGTCTGTGAAAATGAAGAACTAAAAATTATCAAATGCACATTAATGGCATAAAATATAAATTAAATATTATAGAGGCAAATAAAATATTAACAATCTTTACAATAAATTAGATATACACAAAAATATGAATGAATTCCATAGAAATATAAAATAAAATACCCTTTTAAATAAAATGTTGAAAACATTAAAAATCTTACCATTTCTTCTTCATTATCTATATAGAGCAGGTTAGAGTTCTTAGAAGCACAGGCCATCAAACTCTCATTCCATGTTTTTCCTTCAGTGCTGATGTAATAGCAGTTGCTGGAATATGTGAACCACTCTGGTGGACATCGACCACAATGAATTGCTGAGGAAAGATTATGTATTGCTATCCAAGAACAATATGAATTGTAAAATGGAAAATTAATTTCAGTATTTGCATAGGTATAGACAATTTAGTGCACAGTATATGTACATACCTTCACAGACTGGCATATATAAAGCATAATACACTCATACACACTCACACACACTCACAGAGAAGGGTCAGCCCCTCATTCCCTAATTTATGTGCCCATATTAAGCAAACACACAAACAAAAATATCCACTTTCTATATGTCTTGAATGTCAATGAATAAAACCACATTTTTAGAAACCAAAATTATCTTTCAACCAATTGGCAACAATGTGTATGATAAACTAAATAAATATTTCTTCATATTTTTGCATAAGAAATATACTCTTGTATATTCATTATTTATGTAGATTTATGCCTGGTATTATAATTTATGTTCCCCCCACAAAAAAATAAAACCTATAAATTTTGACTGTCTTAGAGACAAGGTAGGAGCTGTATTGATATCAGAACATAGAAAATAATTAGGTACCTTTCTGGTTCCCTGTTGTCTGGTTCCCTGTCCAGTTCTCTGCTGTAACTGTCTGGTTCACTGTTAAAATAATATATAATTTATATTATACACAAGAAAGAAGAATTATTCTCCACCAGTATTGCATTAGCTAGAAAAAGAAGTAATTATTATAAAAAAGTAATGGTGATCTATATAAATCATATTACTTTTGTTTCTTACTTTGAAATGTGGAATATTGTCCAGGATTATAATGGCCTGAAATAAAATTGATTTTACCAAGAAAAATTAATGAAGCTATGATAATTTGGGAGAAAATATTTCAAAAGCCATGAGAACCAAACTTCATCAACTCTTAAACTATTTCAGTTAATCAATATGAAGAATTTATATGTATTTCTCAATGAGGTGTCCTAAAGCATGCCTGGAATTATAACACAAGAATATCTATGGATACATGGGATATATAATTGTGTGTATATATATATACACACACGCTACTTTTTAGAAATATTTATTATTTATTTATTTATTTACTGTTGTTCAAGTAAAATTATCTCCATTTTCACCCCACCTAGGCCCCTCACCTTACCCATTTCCACTTTCCACCCTTAAACTTACCCCCTTTGGCTTTGTCCATGTGTCCTTTATGCATTGTTCTTGAAGGCCTTCCCTATTCTCCACCATTATCCCTCTCCCCTCTTCCCTCTGGTTACTGTCAGTTTGTTCTTCAATTCAATATTTCTGGTTATATTTTTCTTGCTTGTTTGTTTTATCCATTAGGTCCACTTATAGCTGAGATCAGATGGTATTTGTCTTCTACATTCTGGCTTATTTCACTTAGCATAATGCTTTCCAGTTCCATCCACACTGTCACAAAGGGTAGGAGTTCCTTCTTTCTTTCTGCTGCATAGTATTCCATTGTGTAAACTTACCATAGTTTGTTTATCCACTCATTTACTGGTGCCCTTAGGTTAGTTCCAGCACTCGGCTACTATAAATTGTGTTGCTTTGACCATTTGGGAAAATATATTTGCGAATGTTATCTTGAACAAAGGTTTCATCTCCAAAGTATATAAAGAACTCACACGACTCCACTCAAAGACAACACACAACCCAATTAAAAAATGGGCAAAAGACTTAAATAAACTACTTTTTAAAATAATGCAGATGTTTATACCTTGGAAAAATTTAGAATAACAATTTTGCACTTAGTCTAAAGACATACTTTAAAATGAGAGTTCTATTCTCTAATATTATGAAGTGTTTGGAGGCACTGATGAACATAAAAATGAACAGTTTCATATAATCTTACAATAATTTACTTACAGAAAATAATAGCTCTTGCTACCACAGTGGTCATCAGGACAAGGCAGATGACTCCTAGGATCCCAGCAATGAGCTTCTCTGGAGGTGATAGGAATGCTTCAGGGAGGGAAATGGAAACACTGAGAAAGGAGGGATGCAGACAATTGTTTGGACAGTTTACACACAGAGAATCGTGTACATAAACTTGGACCCCAACCCATATCTACCACTGTAATCTTGCTCTCAGAATATACCATTACATTTTCACTAAATATAATGCTCTACAAGTTACTTGTCAAAGACTACAACTTACAACAATGTCTGAATAAAATTAGTCCTCAGCTTTCATCTGAGAATACCACATTCCAGCTTCAAGTCCTGATCCTTAAGATGAAAAAATATGTGAGCTTATCCCGTTCTCTTTCCCATAGGTATGCACCCAGCTACACATCCCAGAACAGTTATACTGTGTCTACTGAATGTGTTACCTTTGCGGTGGCCATTCTTGTCACTCCCTCGAAGATCCTGAGAAGCATTTTGAAGATTTAACTGTGCATAGGTTAGTTCCTGCTCAGTTCCTAGAATAGAGCCCTTAGTGCCCTTAGGTTTCACGTGCTGTCTCTTTCCATCCTTAACCAGATTCAGTTCTGCATAGGTTACTCTTTGTTCACTCATGTCTGCAGCTGAGTGGTGGCTGAGACTGTGCTCTACAACATGTGTGCTTACGTACAAGTGACACACACACTGAAGACATCCCTCACAGTGACACTGAAAAGGGTACGGGGTGAGTATCAGGCTCATTTCCCAGTTAAGAACCTGATGTTGTGCTTATAGATTTCTTAGATCTTTAAACAAGTGCGTCATGGTAGATACAATATTTAAGATATTCTACATTTGATAGTATATTATTTGTTTGAGCAATTAAAAAGCTGTATGTTAGTGATGAATAAAATGATTTCATAAATAACATCCTTGTTTATTAGGGTCAGATTCCAAAGAAATATTTTAATACCATGTCTATTTAACACTAGAATGTTAGTATGAAAAATAAAATACAATAGTAAAAAAACGAGACATACTAGTTATGATAAATTGGAAGTTGAATAATGATTAAAGACTGAGTGTCCTCAAAATGGGGTACTAATCATGTTGGCATATCTAGTAATTTTCTGAACTAAATTTTTATTTAGTGACATGCATTTATTCATTAAAGAGGATGAGCTGTTGTCAAACTATCTTCTATTATGAATGAAAATGTTTCATATGTTAAAAAATCTTTGTCATGCTAAACTTATTCAAGACCTGAACATATTGACAACACAGTGAAATTTTTTAAACACATTACACAAGAAATTGGCAATTGAGTAATTGAGTTAAGGACAAAGATATAAAAGCATAAAATGTGAAAATTTATCTTTGACCTCCATAATTAATATATTTTAAACATGTCTTTTTAGAGGCTGGGCTAAATGCAAAATAATAAATAATTATATTAATATTGATTATAAAATCAAAAAATAGCTGTTCCTTTTCATATTCTTATAGGATTTTTACTTTAAATTGTTTTGATTAACACAATCAATTATTCTTGTGTATATACACTTGAATAATTGTCCACAGTGAAGAATTTGAGTAGTTCAAGACATCCTCAAACATATTTCATATTTTATTCTTGACTTTTTACTCTAATTTATTTAAATAAAATATTAATATTGTCTTTGATTTGATTGTATATTAACCGTACCTCACTGATATCACATCTTATGTTATATTCTCCCCCTACATGAGATGGGCTAAGACAGAGACAGGAGAGGAGAGACACACACATACCTTCTGAAGGCCAGAAAGTCGTGCATCCTGTAGTGGGAGACCAGCTAACTCTTGTAAACAAACAATCTCTGTGGTCTTCACAGACTGACCTGTGGAGGCTCAGAGTGAGGCAGGAGTGAAAAACCAGATTTGTCAATAATGTGTCACCTAACGTTTGAACAGGAAATTCTTACACTCGGGCTGTTTTGAAGAGTGTGTATCTCATCACACACCTACAGAATCTAGGAGATATGGACTGATAGTGTGTCATTCAGTTTGTCTATTGGCAAATGCATCTGGAAATTGTTTTCTTACTCTGAAAGTTATTAGGGGACAAGCACTGGACCACTCATGCTGTGAACATTCTTCAACCTTAATCACAGACTCTGAAATCTTAGTCCTTGTTAAGAATATCTTGTATGTGTAAATTCTACTCCTAGACAGGGTTATTTAATTTTGGCTTTACATATTTCTTTTCCTTATATTCTCATTATGACATTTCTATTACAATGGAAACAATGTTAAAATCATAATTTCATAAACAAAAGATATTTGATGATATTTGTCAGCAATATTCTGAAAAATCACTACATTTTCACTGTTATGGTAACTGTCACAATCACTAATCCCATACTTTTTTCTCAATTTCTTGCCTTAGTTCTTAAACTTCCTCTATTGATTTTATTGTTATTAACTGTTATTTAGATTTCCCCTGGTAAAGATAATATCTCTGTGAAAGATAAAATATTAAACAACATTGAACTGTATCACCATGGCAGAGGTTAAATTGTTATGTAAGTAACAATTGCTGATTCATTTTCAAATCACTACTAATTGTCTGTAATTTAATTGGAATATTTGTTTTAAATTACAAAAGCACAAATCTAACTATGTATGGTGAAAACAAATGTAATTTAATTGTTTTCCTTATTTAAAATGGGAAGGACAGAAAAAACAGACTTCTGAAAGACAATTAAATGACACATGAGCATCAACAGAAACAAAAATTTTACTTCATAATGTAATCATTTGCATATATTGCAAAATGATTATCACAATAGGTTCAGCTAATATCCCCCTTCTCCTGGAGTAAAAATTAAAAGGAATAAAGAATACAGAGGGTAGTCACAGTGCTTGTGTTACTCAACTACTAATCACATAGTAGCTGTCTGTGTCATCAGACCAGCGATTTTCAACATTTCATCTGTCATGGCACAATTAACTAATTACTGAAATTCTGTGGCATACCACAAAGTATTTTTTGCTGTTGTGAACAAACATAGGTATAATTTTGATTGACTGATGAAAAAATAATAGTACTATTACCTACTCTTTTTGCTTTAATTTGACTTTTTAAAATATCAAGTGCCCATACTTGTATATGGTGAGGTCTGTCTGAAAAAAGACCAGCCATTGTTAATGTAACCAGAATGGTTTGCATGACATCATTGTAACATGGCAGACAAGGAGAGTGGACTGGAATGTACATACATGAACAATGCCACTGCACTGTAGTATTCAGTGGGGGCAGTTAGATGCCACTGATTGAGCATGTGTACTGTGTGGCTGTCACATTCAGAATGACTGAAGAAGTACAGAGCAATGAACCTGTGCCAAATTTTGTGATTAGCATAAGTATCCCTCCATAGAACATACAGGGATGATTCAGAAGGCTTTCAAAGATGATGCAATGAGTGCAGTGCAAGCAATAAAGTGTGGCAGAAATGCTTCAAAGGTGGTCGAGAATCTGCTAAAAGTAACCCATGTTCTGGAAGGTCTACAACAAACAAAACACCTGAGAATGTTGAGCGTGTAAGGTCTGCAGTCATCAAAGATGGGGGACTGACAGTGCAAGAACTAGCAGCTGATCTGGGCATTCCATAAACTACTGTGTCATATGTTTTTTTTTATTTTAATTGTTGTCTCCCCTCTCCCCTCTGGTCACTGTCAGCCTGTTCTCTATTTCATTGTGTGTTGGGTGATATTTTGCTTGCTTGTTGGTCTTGTTGTTTAGGTTCCTGTTAAAGGTGAGATCACATGGTATTTGTCTTTCTCCCTTCCTGATCAGCACTCAGTCAGCCTCATGTGCACTCTCCCCAGGGCTAGCCTGGGACCTCTCCCTGGGCTTTTGGTGTGGGATCCAGGCCTTCCTCAGAGCACACTCTCCTCAGGGTTACAAGTGTGGGCTCCTGGCCTTCTACAGAGCTCACTCTCCATGGTTTGGGTGCATGCCCTTGGCAAGGTGGCCCTGGGTCCTACCTGTTTGGGCTTGCACTCTTCCCAGGGCTACAGGAATGCACACTCAGGCTTCTGCACTGCCCGACTGGGTGGGGAGGAGGCTGGAACAACTGCTGCAGGTGAATTCTCCAAACAGCGTCTCTTTATTCACTTTTGCTTTTTGACAAAATCCTCCTACTCAACCCTTCTGCTCCATACAAGGGCCTGGCCTCTCCCACAGCCCAGTTCTCCAGCCAGACTGGGGACTATCTGGGTCAGGGCCCATTAAGGCCCTGCTCTCAACTTTCCCCAGTGGGTGTCCACAGACTCCGTGGGTGCTCATAACCCCTGTGTGTTCTCCATTTTGTCCTTATTCCTCCTCTGGGATTTCAAGCAACCAGATCTCTTCCTGTGCTGCTCAAAACTTGTGTGGCTGGGGAGGGAGCTGCTGACTCAACTCTCTCCCAAGAACTCTGTGGCAGACCCAGGGGGCACTGGACTTGGGGCTGCAGCAGTCATGGTCCCCACACTGGTCCCTGGGACTTTATTGTCCTGAACAACTCTCCTCACCATCTGCTTTTTCAATGTCTGCTATAATTTTTGGTCTCCTGTTTTCATATATGCTGGGGTACTGTTGGCTGTTGCTCTGTTCCTCTGTAGATCAGTTAGGATTTTCTCCCATATTGGGGGAAGTGGAATCTTCTACTTTCTACCTCACTGCCATCTTTCTCCTCTGTGTCTTAGATTTTGATGCAGGATCTTAGCATGGGAAAATCCCTTCTGTGGCTTCTGCTACCTGAGCAAAAGGAACATCATGCTGCAGTTGCTAATGCTAGATTTAAACTGCTACCGATGAACTGGATTTTCTCAAGAGGGTCAAAACTGGAGATGAAATCTGGGTGTGTGGCTGTGATCCAGAAATGAAGGCCCACTGGTCACTATGGAAGTCACCTGGTTCTCCAAGCCTCAGGAAGGCACAGAAAATTTGAAGCAAGGTCCAGACCACTGTAACTGTGTTTTTTTCATGGGGAAGGTGGTGTCCATCATGAGTATGCCTCTTGGGGCCAAACAATTCATAAGGAGTACTGCCTCAATGTCCTTGTCATTTGGGGATACAATAGGACAGACACAGCAGCAGCTATGGGCTTCTGGTGATTTCAGCTTCATTTCAACAATGTGCCTGCTAATGCACAACATCTTTTCCAGAGTTTTTTTGGTGAAACAAATCACGCAGGTGACTCAGCACCCTTACAGCCCAGATGTGGCACCCTGCAACTTCTGAATATTCCAAAAACTAAAATCACCTTTGAAAGGGAAAAGGTTTCAGACGATTGATTAGATTCAGGAAACAGAACAGCACATTTGTGAAAAATCAAAGAAGGGATTTTACAGAGTATTTTGAACAGTGGGAGAGATGCTGGGAGAACTGTGTGAGGTCCCAATGGGCCTGCTTTGAAGGAGACTGAGACGCCATTGTCATTTGTACAAGATTTCTTGTATCTTGTAACTTCTTTAATAAGTCTCTATTTTTCATATTATATGGCTGGATACTTTCTGGATTTCTGTACCAAGAATTAACCAACCAGACACAAGCTTATTATGTGTCATGATCAGTCAGATTCAACTCTAGTAATGACCTATATATTTAT